TCACAGCGGCTGTGTTCTGGAATAAAAGCCTCTCTCTAAGACACGCCCCTGCAGCAGTCAGAGGGTGGAACAGTTAGCAAGCTTAGCATGATCGTCTGTTGACCTGGTTGGGGAGAGCTGACTGCTGCGCTGCTCTTTCTCTCTCCCTCTCTCTCCACACACACACACACACACACACACTCCAGCAGTACTCCTGCACAGCGGGAGGGGAGGAGGGAAAAAAAGGCAGAAACACAGCGGGGCAGCTGCAGCCCTAATGGACCAAACTTCAGTCAAACAAGACCCAACACTTTTATTCMTGATTTAAACYAGTGATCTTGAGAGCAGCTGCAGCTGTATGCTTTTATTTTTTTCTGTCAGGCTGTCGCGGAGCGCTCCACTACTCTGTCCTGTGAGGCGGACAGCTCAGCCGAGGCTGTCACGTTATCTTGTCCTGGCCACACCTCTGCTCTCTAACCCCCTCCCCTACCCACTTTGATGCATTTTTCAAATTTCGCCTTGGGGCGGAGTTATCTTTTCACGGGGGGGGTAAGATACACTTTAAGGATGAAATCCGGGGTTAGGTGCAGAGCAGTTTTGCATGACTTGGTAAATCTCACACCTGTTTGACTCTTCATGGAACTTTACATCTGCAGTAACCCAACTGTCAGAATTTGTCAGTTTCAGTTTTATCTTTTTGTGAAGTGTAGCTGTCTCCCTCCCATGGTGACCTCACTGTTCTGATTGCTGTTTAATGTCCTTGTTGTGATTATTTTTTTAATGTATTATTATTATTCTTTTCTTTTCTTTTTTACTCTTGTTAGTATTATTTCTTTCTTCTTTCTTGTTGCTGTTCTGTATAAAAAACATATCAAAAATTAAGTTTAAAAAAAAGAAAGGTTCTTTTAGACCAGGGGTCTCCAACCAGTAACTCGTGAGCTCATTTAAAGTAGCTCTTCAGTGCTTATGTAAAATTAGGAGAAGAAACATTTAATTTGTCACTGGCCAAACAAACTTTCATTTAATTGCAAATCAGTCTATAGATGTCCCTTCCCTTGGTTGTCAAACAGTTTAGGGCTCAGTATGGTTGTTCGGTGTTTGTTTTCACACAGACCTTTCATAGCCCCTTGAGACTGTGCCAAACTTCTGGGAAACTCCTCCCGCTAAAGGCTGGGTTATAGTCACGCTTTGGGTTGTTGCGCAAGCTCTGCGGAGTGGGCGCTCCTGAGCCGCACGCTGTGTGAAAACATAGTTGATGTTCAAGTTATCGCTGTTCTTCCGTCACCGACAGACGGCAGTATGGTGCCAAACCAACGGAAAAGTAGTCTGGAAGAGTGTAGAAGAAGAAACGCTTGACGTTACACATAACAAAGTAACAATATTTATCTCTTTTTCCAAATTATCTGTTTCTCTGTGCTTCACGAACTGAGAGAGCAACACTGGTTTGTTTCCTCCAGGATCACAAACCAGTCGCAAATATTTTTCCATGTCGTCCGGCATATTAACTCATCTTTCTTTAAAGCCGTTGCTATTTCCTTCCATGAGTTTTGTGCCATCTGGTTATCTTTATGATCTCTCATGGAGGAATCATACAGATGCCGGTACATTTGGACCTGTTCAGCGAGAGCACCTTCGCGACGAGTGGTGCGCAGCCTTTGCGGAGCTTCAAAATTTCTGAGGTGCACGACCACGCGTCAGGACACAATGCGCAGGGGCGGGGATGCCGCGATTGCGTAACTTTTGATGCAAACCCCCTCGCACCCTGTGCGTCGCGTCAGCTATAACCTAAGCTTTAGGTATATGTCACTGCACGGGGTTTCTTCCCACTGGAGTCGACAGTAGGGCTGCCACGATTAATCGACGACTAATCGATTATTAAAATAATCGATGACTAATTTAATAATCGATTAATTCTTTTTTTTGTTGTTGTTGTTGGTCTTTACTTTGTTTTTCTCTCCAAACTGCTTTGACACTTTCCACTGCCACATCTGCCTTTCTGTCCTTGACACACATGCACAGTAGTGGTAACTGGGGTAGGCCGTGGACGTCACAAGACATTATACAGACAGGCTCTGGTATCATGGCTACCTGACAACAGAGCTCAAAGTGTGGGATCATTTTAAGAAAATGAAAGAGAAACCTGTGTAATATCTGCAGAGCAGAACTTACCTTCCACAGCAATTATTTTTAGTTAGCATATAGCTAAAATCTAACCATGGTTATATAATAGCAGCTGCATTCTGACGTGATAAGCTCTATGTTTGTATTCAATTAACGTATGATCTGATTAGTCGACTAATCGAAAAAATAATCGGTGATTAATCGATTATAAAAATAATCGTTTGTGGCAGCCCTAGTCCACAGTGCAGAGAAAAAAATCTGAGACCCATCACCTGACGTTATTTGTGCACAAATCTGTTGAAGTTAAACCCTAAGTTATTAGTGTGAAATACACTATATTATGAATAGATAATCACAAAAAGCACATTCATGTAAATTCAGTGTTTTTTTTTTTTGTTTGTTTGTTTTGTTTTGTTTGTTTTTTGTAATAATTTCATGTGAATTGAAGACGATGTTTTTTGTGCAAAACAAGCTTATTTTAATGGCTTAAGTTTAAAATTAAATGTTGCAGAAAGTAGCTCTCGGACAATTTCATTTTGTAAAAGTAGATCTTAAAGAAAAAAAGGTTGGAGACCCCTGCTTTTAGTCAATAATGTTTCTTAAAAAAAGGCAGGCAACATAATTTATTCGGAAATTGTCCGGATAATAGTAATTATTTAAAAACTTCAATCAATTCTTGTAAAATTGACATAATTCTATCTGCCAATCAAGTCAGTAGGCTTGTCAGCACCTGACAAATCAGAGATCCTTATTGAAGGAAAAGTGACACGCCCCCTAGCTGCAGGAACCACCTGATCTTTTCCTTCAGCAAACCTGTTGAGATTTCCATTACCAAAGCTCAGTGCAAATCAGACACCTGCTGTTCTGAGCATTTATAGAGTGGAATAAAGTTCATCCCATTTCCAAAACATAAACAGAGTCTGGAGAAGTGCGAACACGAACAGCCCAGTGTTCTGTCAGCATAAACGTTCACCTGACACTTTGAAATGATATTAAACACTGTGGACTTGAGAGTTCTGGACAAATACCTGTGCTGTTTTACTTTTCTTTCCACAACCCGCTCCCAGAATAACTGGGTTCCCCGGCGAGGCGATCAGGGGCCCAAAACCATCGACCAGATCCACAAAGATGCTGAGCTGGAGGAACACAGGGAGCAGATGAAGGTGCAGCAAGCTCTCATCTCTAGGAAAGACTCTAGTGGGGGTCCAGGAGGTAGAATGAGTGGAGGTCCAGGAGGTCGGGGTGGCCCTCACACCCCGGGTCGTGGAGCACCTCCACAGGATGAGGGCTGGAACACGGTACCCATCTCCAAAAACCGACCCATTGACACGTCTCGCCTTAGTAAAATCACTAAGGTAAGAAGAAACAGTGTTTATGCAGTAGGATTAACACAAACCGGTCTTTATTTGGTTTTTAAAGCAATCTGTGCTTTTTCAGACACCAGTTCTGGACTTCAACAATCAGTTGCTCGCCCCAGGAGGTAAAGGCACCTGGGGCAGCTGGGGTAAGGGCAGCAGTGGTGGCAGCAGCTCCAAACCTGCAGATTCTGGTACGTTCTCATGGTTAATGTGCTTTTAGGTAAAGACTATTGCTCTAGTTTAGCAGATTTAAATAAAAACTCACTTAATGATGCTCACTTTACATCCAGGCCCAGAGTCAGGAAGCCGTCTGGCCCCCAGCACTCCGAACAGGTTCTCCGCCTTACAGCAGTCTTCATCGCTGTCTGGATCTTCACTAGAATCTGATAGAAGAGTTCCTCAGAGGTAAATAAATAAAATAAATGTGCTTTATTCATCATCACTGCCGCCTCTAACTGCCCCACTCTCTGCCAACAGAAACAGCTCGAGTCGAGAGCGCAGCGACCACTTCGAACGCTCTGATCGAAGTGGCGATCGTTTTGACCGACGGGACGAGAGACGAGACGACCGCGATCGAAACCGGCTTCAGGTCACCAAACAGAGCTTCGGCCGGGAGAAGGATGAGCGGAGCCGGGAAAGAGGGCAGGGTGGGTCTTCTGATCCCATCCGCCGAGTGGCCAGCATGACGGACGAGCAAAGTCAAAGCAGCAGAGAGCGAGCCCGGAGCAAAGAGAAAGGTAGACTGTTGGTGTTAAACTATGCATCATTTAGGTCAGAGGTTCCCAAAGTGTGGGGCAGTGGTCCTGCAGGGGGGCTCCAGCAGGACATAGTTAGCGTAGTGAACAGGTTCTTGACAAAATCCCACATAAAGACAAAGATGTGAGGATAAAATGTGCCGGTTTGGATCAACAAACCTTCAGTTTATTACTGAGCCCCTAAAGGGACATGGATTGAAAAAAAAAGAAACACTATCTCGTTCCCACAACTTAGTAACTCGTTCCCACGAGTTACTAAGTCGTGTGCACGAGTTAGTATCTCGTTCCCACGAGTTACTAAGTTGTGTGCACGAGATACCTCACAGGATCTTTCAGATTGCTTTGGACCAGCTGTGTGTTTACTGAAATGGAAATGCGTGACATAACTGAGCTTTATTTCCAGTTTTGCCTGAAATACAAACAGGGCTGTGTTACTTGTTCTCCTATTAGTGCTGCAGCCTGGGGACAGTCTCGGAGCCTTTCCACCCACAGTTCCTGGATGTTTACGGTTTCCTTGACAACGGCGTAGTTTTACTAAAGCTATCCAGCTGAAAATAAATAAAATCCACATTAAACATTTAGGAGGTCTACCACCTAGGTTGGAAGGCACTTATCAACATGCCTGATAGGGGCAAAGACATGCCTGATAGGGGCGGCTGTGGCGGTGTGGTTAGGTGAGTCGTCCTGGAACCGGAAGGTCGCTGGTTCGATCCCCCATCCAGCCGTCTCAGTCGTTGTGTCCTTGGGCAAGACACTTCACCCACCTTGCCTACTGATGGTGGTCAGAGGGTCCGGTGGCGCCGGTGCATGGCAGCCTCGCTTCTGTCAGTGTGCCCCAGGGCAGCTGTGGCTACAGTGTAGTTTGCCATCATCAGTGTGTGAATGTGAGTGTGAATGTCTGTTTGTGTAAAGCACTTTGGGGTCTGGAGGGACTTGAGAAAGCGCTCTATAAGTTCAGTACCATTACCATTACCATAATATGAATTTAGGCGCAGTGAGTGTAGATCCTCCTCCGGGAGCTGAAGCGGTCGGCTCGCTGTCCTTTGATCGGGGAAAGCAGTCGATCTGCTGCACTGAGATCCAGGCTGTAGCAACGAGGCTTCACAAGACAGCAGATCTGTGGCATCACACATCACATCACACTCATCAGCTTCATCTTTACACACGGAGCAGGTCTATATATAAAGGAGGCGGTGTCTTATTGAATCTAAAATAAATAAAAGTTTCCCATCTGATCATCATTTCAGATGATCTAGACACCATCCTGAATGCATCTGCAGGAGGTGAGACAGCGCAGTGAAGAAGGACGGGATTGCGCTCGGCCCTGGAGCGCGTCTCTGAGGCACAAGGCACAGCGCGAGTGCGCTGCAGATGTAAACTCACTGTGCATAACTTGAGATTTTCCTTAGAGTTTTTTTTAATTATTAGACTTTTCATTACAAAAATCAAATCCACGTTCTATTTCTGTTTTTATTTAACAATATTTAACACTGTGGCAGCGGCGCATTGTGATTAACAACTGACTGCATCTCTGCCTTCATGTTTTTCCCTCTTCTCTCGTCCTTCTGCAAAGGAGGTAGAGACAAAAATAAGGAGGCATAATGTTGCAAACTGCAGCCACTAAATATGGTGGCTGCAGTTTCTCCAGTCAAAGTGAGAAATCAGCAAGATTTTTTATCCAAATGCCACAAGCTGTAGCAAGAGGAAATCCAGCAGCACACTCGCGCTGTGCCTTTGCATCTCAGACGCGCTCCAAGCCTCCTGTCCTTCTTCACTGCACTGTCAGCTCCTGCAGATGCATTCAGTATGATTTCTAGATCATCTGAAATGATGATCAGATGGGAAACTTTTATTTATTTTAGATTCAATAAGACACCGCCTCCTTTATATGTAGACCTGCTCCGTGTGTAAAGATGAAGCTGATGAGTGTGATGTGATGTGTGATGCCACAGATCTGCCGGACCGCCTCAGCTCTGTGTCCCGGAGGAGGATCTCACTGCGCCTAAATTCGTATTATCAGGCATATTGATACGTGCCTTCCAACCTAGGTGAGAGACCTCCTAAATGTTTAATCTGCATTTTATTTATTTTCAGCTGGATAGCTTTAGTAAAACTACGCCGTTGTCAAGGAAACCGTAAACATCCAGGAACCATGGGTGGAAAGGCTCCGAGACTGTCAACAAGCTGCAGCACCAATCAGAGAACAAGTAACACAGCCCTGTTTGTATTTCAGGCCAAACTGGAAATAAAGCTCAATTATGTCACACATTTCTATTTCAGTAAACACACATCTATAGTCCAAAACGATCTGAAAGATCCTGTGAGGTATCTCGTACGCACGACTTAGTAACTCGTGGGAATGAGATACAAACTCGTGCACACGAGTTACTAACTCGTGGGAACGAGAGAGGTTTTTTTTTTTCCAATCCATGTCCCTTTAGGGCAGTGGTGCCCAACCAGTCGCTCGCGGTTGACTGGTCATCCACCAGCTGATTCCCAGGTGCCCGCAAAGCGCAACTTTCTCTAACAGCTGATGACAGCGGTTGTCAGCTGTTAAAGCAAGGTTGCGCTCCGGCCGGGAGCTTGCTGAGCTTCATTCTAACTCCGGCAGAAGCGGTGGAGGTGGGAGGAGGAGAGCGGAGGGAGCGTGTTCAGGAATGTAATCTCCTCCCGCCTCCACCGCTTCTGCCGGAGTTAGAATGAAGCTCAGAGGAGGGTAGTCTCACGAGTTTTGGGTGCTGTGAAACAGCAGCGCTCCGAACATGATCTTGCGAGACTTTAGGGTCACGTGTTTAATACATGATATTGAGGCAGAAAATAATGAACGACAAACGAGCTAAAAAGCAAACAAAAATTTATTATTTTCACCTGGAGTGGGAAAAGGACTTCTATGTAATTCGAGCGCTGCCTTGTCCAAAAAGGATAACGTGGAACAGCATTTTAAAACAACGCACAAACACGGATTTCCTCCTAAAACTGCACAGCATCGATTTTCACATCAGAGGTAAGGCTAATGTAGCTCATCCTGCCTCAACACAAAAAAAAGGTCTTTCAGTGATGAACGAGTTATGAAAGAAGCGTTTGATGATGCAGACATGCTTTTCTGTGATTTTAAAAATAAAAGTGAGATTGAGTCAGCTATGAAGACCTTGTCCAGGATGGTTGACATTGTGTCCAAATTCGTGTCTGTGTTTCTGCTGGACTGCTCTGGTGTTGAAAATGAGGTTTTGACTCTGCAAAATGACATTGGGATCAAATCCTGAGCAACAAGTCACATGGATGGAGAGTTCTGCAGTCTGCTGTCAGAGGAAACGTATCCTAACATCAGAAAAGGTGCTTTGAACTTGACAGAACTTTTCGGATCTACCTGTGTGAGTCAGCTTTCTCTCACATGAAAATCACCAAATCCATGAACAGATCCACAATAACTGATCATCTGGAGACCTGCCTGCGCCTCAACCATCTCATACTGCCCACCCCCATCCAGGTGCTGGCCCAGTAAGGACCAGCACCTACAGATGACACCATCCTGCATGCTGCTGCACAGAGATGGAGGTTTGAAATAGTTGTTGGAGATTTGTGAATCTGCACCATTGTAAGTCACTTTTTGTAATAGTATAAACAAGAGAGTTTTATATTGTGTGCTTTGACTTTGAAAAAAGGGCGGTACTCTTGTGGTAGCCATGTTGACCCTGATTGATAGTTTTATGTTTTGTTTTTTCCTCCCCTGTATGAAGAGAAGAGAGGAGAGTTCTTTGAATAAATGGAGATGAGTTCCCGTGCTCCAAAGTTATTTAAGTCTGTGGTTCTCTCAGTGTGCAGGTTTCTAGCCCTCATAGCTCACACGTTACAGGGAGTACTAATTGAAGGCTGAAAAAAAAATTGATCTTTTTTGTTCAAGCATCACTTTCATGTTTCTCTGTCAGGAGTTAAGTAAGAATTTTATCTTTTCTTTTTTGTAGGTAAATATATGGTTAAGTAGATAGTTTTGTTTGACAATACTTTAAATTAAATAAAACTAGCAACACATTACGTTCTGTTTTATTTACTTTAAAGAAGTGAGGAGTAGGGAGACGAAAATTTGTTTTTTTTTTTATACTGAGACTGGTTGAGTAGCTCTCGGCAAACTGCCGACTTCAAAAGTAGCTCTTGGTTCAAAAAAGGTTGGGCACCCCTGCTTTAGGGGCTCAGTAGTTTATTACTTTTCAGGGTATTGTTCATTTTTAAACCCAATGTGCTCAGAGAAGAACATTTTGAATCAGATGTGTAGAAGGTAGAGCTCGGCGATATATTGACCAGTTCACCTAGATAACGATAAATGCACGATAACTCTTATCACCCCCACCGCACACAAGTACACGGTATAGCAGGGCTATTCCACTAAATTGCTCCAGGGGCCACAGTTACTGCAGACCAACAGCTGAGGGGCCGAACATCCAGCAAATAAAGTTATGTAAATAAACCAAGTATTACAAAGATCTGTTATCTTTGAAATAGTTTATTTTGCTGGATTTAGTCATGAATACAACATACAGAACCTTATAAAAGTAGTCATAATTCAACAATATCAAAAACAAAAAGAACACATTATGCCTCCTATTTGACACAAATATTATTTTGACATTTCTGACTTTCCTAATATTTTTAACCAATTTTATTTTCACTTTCATAGTTCTATCTTCAATTGCTGTCTTGAGTGTGCATAGAAATGGTTTATACCAGCTTGTAGCCAAGGTTCTGACATTTCTGTAGACACCAAACATGTCTATGTCTAGCTAAAAGAACTTAGAGCAGGGGTGTCCAAACTTTTTTAGTGAGGGCCAAATACAGAAAAATAAACAAAGGGCCGGGCCACACACTAGAAGTGTCATTTTGATACATCAGTAATGTGTGTATTTCTAACTCACCTATTGAGCATAAGGTCACTGTGGTTAGTCTTCGCATGGGTTCTAAGTGGGGGAAATAAAGTTGTCTCGAGGGGC